TGCTCTTTTTGTGGAGTGCCCGTGGAAATTCCATCTTTGCTCTTGCGACGTCTCTTCGTTGGGGTGAGATGCAAGCCGACACCACTGAGCCGCCCGCTATCATTCATGGCTTGGCATTCGTCAGGCATCGAGGTCTTTCTGCTTAGATTGATGCGGTCAAACGTATTGTGGATAAGCTGCTCAGAAAGCGCTATGTAAAACTCGGATTGCCTTATCCAACATAGAGTGCCTTTGCATCCCTTGTAAGCAAGCCAAGAAACTACGAAACATATTAAGAATATGGTAGTATTGACACACGTAGACCAGTTCATGGTTCGGACTTTCCTGTCGAGCGTCATGCCATCCTGTAGACACTGATTGTGCCCATCTATAGCACCGCAGACATCGTAGTATATCTCAGCAGCTTTCGGCTGCGGTATAATCATTTCTAAACGCTGAGGATATGCAATGGTGTTAAAATACTCAAATTGCTACCAACGTACTCTAGAGTATGGCCTGCTTCGGGCCAGGGACGAGAAACTGATTCTGAAGAGTCTTCTGTTTCTGTCAATCCAGAAAAACCAATAGCTTCGGGAAAACGTTCTCGTCGACACAGATAAGTCCGCGGCGGTCACCCCTATTTTCGAGCTCAATACCAGAAAGCACCTTGAAAGGAAACTGCCGGGTTGCAGTATTCACAACGCCAATAAATTATAGCCAACTGCTCTTCATATATTCTGCAGGGAACACAGAAGCGAAGTAGGAGTCCGCACATACCACACGCCCAGTTATACTACACGGGTTGAAAAGCTGCCTAAAGGCTTGAGCGCCGCCAGGGGCACCAGCCTCGTCTTCTCCAGAACCTTCGCCTTCAGCCGCTCTGACAAGTGTGGGATACCCGTGTGGGATAGCTCCTCTCGTCCCTGGGTTCGGTGAGAGGCGGAGGTTTTGCGGAAGGAGCACGAGACGCAGACGCGCGGAGCGCTAATTAACCAATACAGACGAGCTGGTGAAAAGGGAGTAGCACACGTGGCCGGTTACGTGCCGTCGCTCAGAGGTGCGTATTCGGAAGCGACCGGTAACGGGTTAGAAGCCAGCACGAATAAACTAACCGAACGGTCGTAGATTGACGCGAAAGGGACGGGGGCAAGCTTGCCCCAGTTTACTGTTGGGGATGGGTGTCAGGTCTTAACCCCTCAGAGAGATGCCTTTGACACCTGTCCCAGTACATTACCTGCCGCCTAGTGCGTGCCGGGTACTGCACACAATTAAAATAATAGCGCCACAATTACTAAGTACCGTATGGGTCCGGCCACTACACGTGTGCGCTACTGTAAACGCGTAATAGCTACGAACTACCACTCAGATGACACCTGTGCTACTGTATACGCGTGATGGCAACGACCGACCGCACGGACGACACGTGTGCTACTGTACACGTTCGCCACGTCACAACCGATCGGTACGCGCGCGCGCTCCCACACGTGGGCACCCCGCCCACGTGTACACCGTGCATGGCTGCTACATTAATAACCTCGGCGCGCGCTGGGCGTTATACTAAAAACAAGCTTCAAGCAAATCGTAATCATACGCATACCACAGGCTGCATTCTGTGTCTCTAGCCGTTCTCTGGTTTTCCGTCAATGGCGATTTATCGTGGTAGAACCTTGTTTATCCAAAAACGTCCTTCACTGAACCACCGTGAGTAGGACGCATGTACGCTCGTGCGGTCTGACGGATTAGAGCACATTGACGGTGTTCGTTAAATCGCGACACAAAATCGTCCACGAGTAGCGGACGATACAGTTCGCTCCCCATGCCTGCCGGCCTGAAAGAAGGCTGGTCGCTAAATCGCATCGCCACCCACAAGGCATCGAAACTTTGTGGCGTCATACCAGTTGTACAGAAGCAGGGAGCTGGCACATACTTTCCTGGCGTTTTTTGATACCACAGCGGGGATCTACTCCCGATTTTGAACCTTGTGTGGTATAACCGCGGGAAGGCGACGGCGCCACCGCCGCCACCCGCCGTACAGTACGCTCGGCTGTAAGCGCGAGCATGACCGTAAGGAGTTGCATTTACAGGTGGCGCCTGGTGTGGAGTACAGTAGTACCGGCCCGGCTACACGTGTAGGATCCGAACTGTAGGTAATTAGTAATTAATGGCACAAATTAGCCAGTTTAGTACAGCAGCTTGGCTACAGTAAGTAACAGCTACTGTAGCGGGACTGGTGTCCGGGCGTCCCACTGAGTGGTTAAGATCATTGCGCCTGCCCCGTCTCAGTAAACGAGAGGGAGAATCGCCTATCTTCCCTTACCGCTATTAGCTACATCTGTGGCGGTTTTCCCTTTTAGCTTGGGCTTCTAACCCGTGACCGGCCGTCCGGTTTTTGCGCTTTCGACTGGCTGAGCGTCACCGGCCACTTGTGCTCTCCCTCTTTACGAGTCCATTCCGTACGGTAATTCACTCGCGTGGGTATCTCTCCAACGAGCGCTCCCTTACCTCTAACCCCCCTCAATCTGCGTGGTCGGCGTGACGGTAGTTATAACACACCTGCTACACAGGACTAATAGTCCTGTGTAGCAAGTGTGGTATAACTGGAGAGATTTTGAAGGTCTTCGGAGTCATAGTATGACTCCAAAGACCTTTAAAATCTCTCCCGGGGAAGTCTGGGGCAAAACATTCGACAGGAGCTGCTTGTTACTCATGTGGACCGTCGACGTCAGTGGTTGACTCAACCACTGACACTGATTACTTTTTATTGCTATTTCCGCCTCAGAGGCGGAAATAGCAATAAAAAGTAATCGAGGGCCGATGCATCGCCTCCGTCCATGCCAGGAATAGATTCCTACTCATCTGCAGATATAATTGACCAAGACTTGTACGGAACCTGATCTTGGACGTCATTTTGGTCCTTTACTTTCAGCCAAAAAGTGGTGTGAACAGTCACTGGTGCCATTACCCTATAAATTGGTTCTGTTTTTGAGAAAGAATGCGCAGCATGACCACTGGAAGGAGGTTTGGACTTCAGTCGATGGTTGTCATCCTCTTCGGCATTTGGGCATGGAACGTTTGATCCTTGTTGAGCAGTTGCTGCGGGGACAGTGTGGTATCGCAGTCAAGATTTGTAATTTGAACATTACCCGACGCCGCGCGTTAATTAATGACGCACGCCAACACGTGTGCCTTACAGAAGGACGCCTGCGCGTTGGCATTACAGACGGAAGACCTACTACAGTACGTACAATACAGCCCGTTGGTTGTATATGACAAGGTACAGTAGTAATGACACAGTACAGTGCATTGCATAGTAGAGTAAAGTAGTACAGTAGTATGGACAATGTCCGAGACCCTTCCACTTCGCTTATTTAGGCGACAGCGCCGGGCAATAACAATAAAAAGTCAAGGATCTTTTGGGAACGGATATACTTCGAAGGTGCGACACCGCAGGTCAAGACAAGCCTCTGACTTAGGCGACATTGTCGATATCTGTCTTGCAACGTTTCCCTGGCTTCTACTGCGTTTACCTTTTCCCTCTCTTCTCTTCCGTCGTTGCGACTACGGGGGTTAAGAATAGCCTCTACCTCTAACCTTGGCGTTACTTGTCACGCGACGTTTCTATTGTTTTCCCTTTTACCTCTGTCGTTGCGACTATGCGGGCTAAGAATAGCCTCCAGCCTAGGCGTATTATTTTCGCACAAGCAATTCCTCTCTATATTGTGACGATTGTCAGGTCACGGGCTACGACAAGCCTCTAGCCTTTGCGGCACTACTGACGTCTGTCCCTCTCATTCCATCCAGGAGTTACCGCTACTAGGCGCTCCGGTCGTTTCTGACACTGGTCTCTAGGCCCGGGCTCCCCCCGTTTTGTGTGTTCGTACACAACCCCTTCCAGTGCTGATCCCATTCCGGGTCAGCACCTTGACTAGTACGCCGTGCTTTTACAGTCTGCCGATGTGCTTCCACTTTTCTATATCACCGTCCCCATCTACCATGGGGGCACCCCTCATTGGTAATCACCTCTTCCTCGAACTAATTAGTTCATGGCTGGTGACCACCACTACACTACAGAGGGGTCCTTGAGGAGCTGGAGGGTTATCTGCGTGCCTAGAGCGATTATTGAGTTACTTGTGCTTCATCTGTTCACCCCCCGTTCGTACTCAGGAGTGAGGAACCAGCTTTGGCGCTGTCCTGTGCCGTAAGTTTGAGACGAAATGACGAGCCCAGGCATGCGTTTAGCCTTGTTGAGCGCGCTATATCGTCCTCTAAACCCCACCAAACGCGTGTCATGCGTTTCCTGCGCGTGCATATGCGATCCGACCAACTTTAGAGTGTCGAAGGTGAATGCCATCCTAGGTTAAGCAGCACCTGCCGAGTGGTACTGTTTGTGACACCATCCTACCTGAACAGGACATTTAATCAGATTAGCTCGCCGAAGGCTCTCCCAAGGAGGCATGCAAGACGGGAAGCCCAAAAATGGCCAGGTTCCATGCTGAAACGGAACCATTTTTTGTTTATTGCTGGTCAAGAATTGTCCCCATATGAGGACCTGTCCTCACAGGAGGACAGAGGTAGAGTAGGCACAATTTTCTATCTGACCGTTAGTATTCTTATGAGGATTCTTCTGTATAGTAATCTTATGAGGACAAAAGGTATTTTATTTTTTTGACGATCAAACTCGCGATTACACTTCTGTTTCGTGAAAACCGAAAGCCATCAACACAGGTAACGTATTTTCTGTCGATTTTGGCAAAAAAACAACTCGTTGATGCATATACGGGTGTTCAAAAGAAAAAGTCGGCTCATAGTACGCATTTTTCTTAAAGCTAAATTTATTCCAGTAGAATGGAAAGATTGCGTGGAGGACTTTCTATTCGGTTCTCTAAAGTTAGAACTTCTAACATCCGAAAACAGTTAAAACGAGACAATCTACCAAAGAAATATTGAAACCGTGGCTTTCAACGTTGAAAAGAAATAAAATTCGCAGACTTTTATGCTATGATAACGCTTGGTCGCATAGACACTAGCCAGAAGCCCCGCGATTACACCCATTAATTAAATCAAATCCTAGTACAGTACAGTACGTGCTGTACATTGACGCTAAGACAAACCCCACGGTACTCTACTGTACACTGATGCTAAGACTAATCCCACAGTAATCTACAGTACACAAGATGGGATAACGCTATAATTCACGCGGAGAGAAGACGTACGCCGCGTGCCCGCCCAAGCAGGGCTAATGCTCTCCCGCTCGGCTCCTTCCATTCCAGAGGAAGCCCTTCACCCCAAAGCGTCGCCTAGTGACAGACAGAGAACCTACAACCAAGAAAGGCCTGCATTCCATTGCTATCCGTCCGCAGCCACCATTTCCTTGGCGGTGAACGCATACTCAAGCCTCGAGCGCACCGACTCCGCTGTTCTGGCCTCCTTCTCGCCCAAAAAGTCTCTCTCGGAGCTAACGATAGTCATGACGGCGCCCTCTTTCCCGATGGGCACGATAGCCGCGCACACGGCGCCCTGCTTCAAAAACGACAGGGCGTTAGCATCGACCACGACGATTTCATTCTCCTCGCCTGCAAACCCCCTGACAGAGAACCCGATATTCGCAGACTCTTTGAGCAGCGGCCCGTCGGCGTACCGCACCTTTCCGTTCTTGTCCGCAATGACAGTGCCGCCGTACCCGGGGAGGGCGCACAATGCGCCTGCGGCCCACGCGAGCTCGACCTCCATCGGTTTCGTCAACATGGGCGTTTCGTCCACTTCCTCCGGGATGTACCGGTTCAGGTCCACGCCGACGCTGTCCAGGTTGGGCAGCGGCTGCACCTTCGCGGGCTCTTGGGCGCCCACGGCGAAGGGGTCTGCGATCGGGGCGCCCAAGCCGATGATGCCTCCTTGCGGAATGACGACGACTTGCGGCTCGACGGGGGCTTCCGGTTGCTCCGGCGGCTCGAGGATGGCCGTGATGTCCTTGAGCGGGTTGACGTCGATGGGCAATTCCACGGCGACAGCGTCGGCGCCGGCATCGGCGGCGGCAGCGGTTGGCTTGCTGGCTTTGGCGGGGGTGGTGGTGGCGGCGCCGGCAGAATCTGCAGCTCCCCTGTTTTGCAGGAGGAAGAAAGCAGCGCCTAGTCCGCCGGCGGTTATAGTGACGAGACTGACGCCGACGACGGTGGACGAGACCATGGCGGGCGCGCGGTGCGTGCGACACACGGCAGCGCGCATGGGAAGAGGCGGCCGCGTCGAGAAGACGGGCGGGAGTGGGAGGAAGGCGGCGGGCGTCATGGTGGCGAGGGTGGTGGCGAGGGTGGTGGCGGAGGGTTGACGGGAGAGGGAGTCGGAGAGGGAGTCGGGACGGGGGGGAGAGGGGGGGAGGTGTGTGTCTGCGGTAGTAGGGTGTCGATGCCTTGACGGAAGGCCTTCTTATACTCATCGGTGGAACGTTCTACGGCATCAATGACAGGAAGAGAATGTCATACTAGGGTTAACTGGAGGGGTGGGAGATAGCCGTAAGGGACGTTGATTGGCGGGTTGAGTTTGCACACAGCCGAGATGTACTTCGCCGGAATATCTCTCGGGCCCGAATATCAACTGCCAATGAGCTTCGGATAACATTAATTGCATTAAATACAATTATGCAAAATTTTTTTGCATGCCGAATTTTTGTGTTCGTCGGGAGACTACTGTATATCCCGGACAACAGGAACTTGCTGCAGGTACACCGACGGTTCGACGACCGGGTTCTTAGGCGCAACTCGCTCCTCACTTCCCGTCTCGAAACTGCTTACCCCTGCCGCTGCCCGCGATGTGCGCGGCTGCGCTGGAAAATTTAACGCTCTTTTTCCTTGCGCGTCCCACACATTCATATTGCAGCGGATGATGGGGGGATGTAGCGGGAACAGAGAAAATATCTCGGAGAAAAGATCTCGTGTTTCTAGGAAACACTAACGTTGTCCGCCAAACCAGTTTTGGTTTCTGCAACCAAAAACACGTGTTTACTTACCGGACAACGTTACTGAGATTTGAACAGAATGCACTCATCAATCCGAAATTACACGTGGCATATAGTACACGTGTCACCACGTGGAAAAGGGCACTACAGCCAAGCTCTATGGACACGTGTTCAATTCTTCTTCTTCTCCTCTTTTTTAATAAATAAATATAATAATAACTAATTAAATTAATCCCATCTTTCGTGCCTCGCATGATGCTCGCAGAGCCTTGACCTCATTGCTCGCCAATGCCCACCAGCTTGGACGTCCCATCTCCGTCCCTTCTCTCCCCAACCTCCGCTTCGCGACTCTGTATAAGTCTCACCGTCCCCTCTCTTCGACTCTATTTCCCCCCCCTCCCCCCCTCCCCCCACGCACCCCTACATCATGGCATTTCTCGCCCCCCTCCCGGTACAGGCTTCCCCGCGCCGCCACACGGCCCTCCTCTCCCGCGCCCGGTCCTTCCCGCCGCGCGTCGCGCGTCGCCATGCCCACGCGCGCCCTCTGCGCATGACGGCGTCCACCCCGGTCGAGTCTCTGCCGCTGTCCCCCATCGCCTCGCTCCGGGGCGTGATCGATCTCCCGGGATCCAAGTCGCTGTCCAACCGCGTGCTGCTGCTCGCGGCGCTCGCTCGCGGCCGCACCACCATCCGCAACCTGCTGGTCTCGGACGACATCCGCTACATGCAGGAGGCGCTCAAGGCCCTCTCCGTCTCGTACGAGACCACCGCCGACGGTGCCTTCGTCGTCGACGGCTGCGCCGGCGCGTGGCCCGTGCAGACCGCCGAGCTTTTCTTGGGCAATGCTGGTACGGCCATGAGGCCGCTCACGGCTGCCTTGTGCGTCGCGAAGGGCAAGGGGGAATTCGTGCTGGATGGTACCCCGAGGATGAGGGAGAGGCCCATCAACGACCTCATCGACGCCCTGCAGCAGCTCGGCGCGGACGTGGAGTGCTCGGATACCGGGTGCCCGCCGGTTCGTATTCGGAACACGGAGGCGGGCTTGCCAGGAGGAGTCGCGCGGGTGTCAGGGAAGATTTCGAGCCAGTATTTGTCCGCTTTGTTGATTGCCGCCCCGATGGCAAATGAAGATGTCACCATTCGCATTACTGACGAGCTGGTTTCGGTGCCATATGTCAAGATGACCATCAATTTGATGAACAAGTTTGGCGTCGATGTCCAAGTGGACGAGGGAAATACGGAATTCGTCGTCAAGAAGGGGCAGCAGTATGTGTCGCCTGGAGAGTACTTTGTGGAAGGGGACGCGTCATCGGCGAGCTACTTTCTGGCGGGCGCCGCCATCACGGGAGGACCGGTCACAGTGAGAGGGTGCGGGAGTGAGAGTGTGCAAGGTGATGTCGACTTCGCACGTATCATGGGGCTCATGGGCGCGAAAGTCGAGTGGGAGGCGAACAGTATCACCGTATCGAGGGAGCCTGGCACGAAGCTTAAAGGAGTCGATGTGGATTGCGTGGATATTCCGGATGCAGCCATGAGCCTCGCCACGACAGCTTTGTTCGCAGAGGGTCCTACTGCGATTCGGAACGTGTACAACTGGCGCGTCAAGGAGACAGAGCGCATGAAAGCGATTGTTACGGAGCTGAGAAAGTTGGGTGCCGAGGTCGAGGAAGGGCGTGATTATTGTGTCATTCATCCGCCGAAGACGATCAGGGAAAATGTGCCAATCGATACGTACGATGACCATCGCATGGCCATGGCGTTCTCCCTCGTCGCTTGCGGGGGGGTGCCGGTTGTCATTAGGGATCCCAAGTGCACCACCAAGACTTTCCCGACTTATTTTGATGAACTAGCAAGGATGACAGCATCGTCGTAGCAGGAGGATCTTTGATAGCTTCAGTGCGGAGCATGATTTTAGACAGCAGAAAGGCACATGAACAGACATTCCATAAAAAACCGACTCCGACATGGTCGCTTTATTCATCAAGGTATTCTGTCCGATTCAGGCATCACATTGAGACCTGCTTGCTCTTCCAGTTCTTTCTCGTCTGACTTTCCATCTGCATTCCTCGTTGCTAGACGGCGCGCCATGCTTGCTCATCAAACATCGTCCCGTCCATGTTTTCCAGACCAGCCATTGACGTTTTCACTCTCTTCCCACAGCAATTACAAGAAACCTGCATTGGCCCTCTTTCCAGCTGCTCAGGTCGCAGCATGATGGAATTAAAACACGTCGGGCACGACACGTACGTGGTGATATCAGTGGTGTCGATGTTTTTGTCATCCAAAATGGGGTCGAGACGAGCCGCACGAGATTTCGTCGTCTTCGGGCGTGAGCGACCCGATTTGCGGGAGCTACTGGAACGGCGCGCTAAGCACGTCGGAGCTGTTCGAGTAAATGTTGCGAAGAGAAACGATGCTTTGAATCGGGGTTCTGCTGAAGGCGGAATCGCAGCTCGCGGCCTTGGTTGTTTTCGTTCTCGCAACTTCGAATTTACCGGCACTTCCACGAGTGTACCCATTTCGAGCTTCTCTGGGTCGTATCGGACGTCCAGACTGAACTTTCTCAACGAATTTCTGTAACTGCAAAGCCTTGAGAATCTCGTTCGGATACAGTAGTTCAGTATGCAAGCAGGGGAATAGACGGGGTTGGTCTCAGCCAATTTGACAATGGAAAACATCGAAAATAATTTTCGATTAAAATATTTGCGACTACAGTACAGAGTACACTTTGTCCCATGTTTTATCTTTGAGTGACTACAGTATGAAGAAAGACGCTGCACGAGGCAGCGGCAGGCAGTCTGAATTTCCGACAGCTCTTCGCCATGGCAAGTGGACATGCCGGTCGCCAGTGGCTTGAGGTCTTAAAGTTCACGATCTATGTCGCTACTCCGATTGCAGCGACAGTTTATTTGGGCACAGGCGCCTACCCGTACCTGGAAAAAATGATCCACAAAGTAAGTCCTAGGTCTTGGTGAGCACCGGCTCGAATGCGACGCTATACAAATGATTCAGCTAACCACAAGTTCGCTCTTACGAATGTTGCTACCCTTGACGTTCACAAAGACTGCGTACATCGTCTACCCGCCCGAGGGACCGACCCCCCCGAAGGGCAAGGCTGAAATTGAAAAAGCGCGAGAAGAGCTAAAGCAGAAACGCACTGCCGCATCAGATGATACGGCGTAGATGGGTTACAAATTTCTATAAGGCGCAGGTTTATTTTCAACTGGGAGTAACGCTGGGGTCATTAAAGAGACTAGCAGGCTTTTGTTCCAAACGCATCAGTTGAAATGTACAGCTGTCAAAGTCATAATTATGTACATTCGTCAAGTTGGGCATGTGGAAAGAGGTTTGCAATACTTTTAGAAACTATGAGAATAATGTCGTGAGAGATAGGCCCCTGCCGTGAAACATGAGGGGAGCTATGGCGGGTTATATCTTTGCCGAAATTCAAACTTGTTCGACGCAGCTTTCGTTGGGAACAACCATACTATCAGCAGCGGTTCATCGCCAACGTTTCGAAACGCATGTCGCGAGTGTGCAGCGATGTGAGCCATAGTTCCAACTTTCATCGGCTTGCTGTAGCCATTCTCATCGTAAACCAATCCCGAGCCCGCGCAAACGACGATAATTTCTTCTGTTGTATGCGAATGCGGAGGAACCCAAGCCCCTACTTCGATGCGCTCCAGCCCTGCGTGTAATGAGTTTGTGTTCACAGTTTCCCAGATTGTGCGGTTTGTGCGCGCGTCCTTGTCTAGGTTGAGTGCAGCTATCCCTGACAAGCCGGCCAGCGATACGACGTTGAATAAAGAGACTGGAGATGTTGGTTCTAGCGTCGCGGTATTGAACCAGTCCGTGAGCAGTGATACTGTCACAGTTGCGACACCTATAGCAAAGGATAAAAGTGTCCAACGGGGCAGCCTGTTATGCACGTCATCCATCACCAATGCTTTGACTAGAAACACAGAAACGCGTTGTCAATGTGCACCTTCCGCCAATCGGGATGGCTGCGAAGATTCGACAGGGTGTACGGGCAAGTAGAGTCCGAGACTTCGTCTCAGTTGCTCGTTGCAGAAACAATCCAGTTATGTTGTACCCAAGGGTACTCATACAAGGAAAACAAGACGTAGTTGTGCTTGCCACTAGTGTCTATTGGACGGACGTTTTTGATCATGAGGATTTTTCCTGTCTGTCAGAGCATTAGAAAGACCCTCCTAAATACCGTGCATTCTAGGTGCCTTCAAGGGACTTGGACATTGTTTTTTACTCTTACTGTTACTGTTTCGCGGTAACTATGGCTTTCAGTTCTCCCTCTTTGCGCCAGAAACGGCGCGGCAAAAAAGCCTCATATGAGGCGAAATCCTCGAATGAGGCGCATTGTCCAATAGACACTAGACTACAGTATCTACAGTACCCTTGGTACCCTTGGTACAGCACGGTATTCTACGCTTCTGACGGGTACCGGTACAGTACCTGGTCTTCGATCACCCCTTCAGATTTTTGGGGCGCAATGCATGACGTATGAGGAAAACAGCAATTTTTATCCGCTTCATTTCTTGAGGCAGGCATTGATTTGTGGGTCTGTTACAGTATGAGGTCACCAATCGACAATGGGCTATCTATCACCAAGGGTAAGCTTTAGCCCTTGTCGCGTCTTCATCAAACAGGCAGATAGAGCGAGGCAACGGCACTTTTACTTCCTTACTGCGTATCTGCCAAGACGTCACGAGAGTTTTTCGAGATCATCAGAAGGGGCACTCTTAGAAAGCATTTCTCGGCATCCAGCACGGACATTTCGTGAAAGCGACATATTCACTTTTGATACAAAACAGCGGGAAGCCTCGCCTACATTTCCCTGAGTAGTTTCGAACTGAAAGTACTGGGATATGTGCTCCGCGGATTGCTGAAGTTGTAATATGCCTACAAAACGGTGGCTTCTTACAATGACACTGCATCCTCGTCGCGCCGTGGAACGGCGCCAGAAGACGTCACCGATGTCAGCAGTGTCCATGTCGATAGGCAAGGTGGTGTTGAAGGACATCGCGAGTGCCAATCTGCCACACCTCTTCAAAATTTAGAAACTATGCCTCTTTACATACTTCTGCAATCTGTTGCGATGTAGCATTCAATCTGAGGCGGCAAAACATGTCATGGATCGGGTGGTGACATTCTCTGCTAATTGGATTGAGCACGGGAGCAGCAATCTACATTCAATTGCCGGAGAGATTCCGCGAGAAGGGGCGAAGAACGACAAGGTACTGCAATGGAAATTGCAGTGCGGTCATTGAGTATTTTGGTGACTGTAGACTCTGATCCACTTTAACGGGCGCCCGAACTTCGAAAGGATAGGAAACAGGCAGGTTCATAGAGTGGGATACCGTGTTCATTTACGACAGAGTAATGAATAAAGCTTCATAAATGACCTGCACACAAGACTCCCCGCTAGGAACCTGAGGTTTCTATCCGTACAAGGAGGTTCATTTACGTTCGAGAGGCTGTTCTGAATCAGGAAAGGCTTTCAACATCCCGCAATATCCGAGGAGTGACTGTGTACTGAATCGATCATTGTGAGAAAACGGGAAAACATCTGTGGCACCCTGTGCCGCATCTACAGAACAGGATGAATCATTATTCTGAAATGCTCGTCCAGTTTAGCACTTCCTTGAGAGTGCTGTACACGCAAAGGTGGTCTGCGGCAGCGGGGTTGAGTGTTATATCGTTGAATTCAGCCTTACAGCTGGGATCAGATAGAGTACAGTAGAGAGGCATTTTCAGTTGTGGCGCTCAACGTCAACTACTCTTCAACACTGTCAAGGGTAGATCCATGACGGTGGCGAAACGGGGCGGCTCCTCTTTGCTTATGATGACGGGAAATTTCCTCTCTACACGGCTTTCAGTATGCTTGATTCTCCTTCGCAGCCGGCAGCTCTCTACGTGCGACCACCAAGACGGTTCGAGTTTTTGAGCACGCTGTCCCCAATCTCACGGAGCAGAGATCGAGCATGTATAGTGCGCTGTCTTATAGATTCCAGCGAACTAGATAATCAATGCACAGTAGTTGAAGCCCGAAAGGCGACGGTTGAGGAGCTGGCCCTGGCTCACTCCCACCGATACCTGAACCTGCTAGCGAGCATTGACCGTCATCTATCGCCAGACTCTGCGTGCTGTCGCGACAGCAGTGAGGAAGAGTCCGACTGCGAAATGTTTGAAAGCACTGGCGATGACATTGCTGAACAATTGGAAGAAGCGGGGCTCGTCGACGACTGCCCGGCATTTACCGGGATGTGGGAAATGGCGAGGTACACCGTAGGTGGGGCTGTTCTTGCGGCGGAACATCTAGTTCGAGGGAGTGCGTCAGTGGCATGCTGGTTTGAAGGAGGCCGACATCACGCTGCATCGGATTCAGCACATGGATTCTGCTATGGTAAGGATACACGCCTGTGTTGGCTGTTCACGATAGTATGTATCTACCGTCACTAACATTTCTCTGTCGCTATGTGTTCTCTCAAACCACAATGGACCAGTGAATGACATCGTGGTTGCTTGTAAGATCCTTTTGTTATGTCCTCGGATCAATAGAGTGTTCTACGTTGATATCGACGTTCACCATGGCGATGGAGTCGAAAACGCATTTTTGTTCACAAACACAGTCGCGACACTATCGTTTCACTTATGCGAAACAGGTTTTTACCCCAACACACCACGCCAAGTCTTTGCCACAAAGTCAGCTACAAAATCGACAGCGATCCGCATTCCGCTGCGGCGCGGCATCAACAATGAAATGTACGCAAGGACGTTTACAGCATGCGTCGAGAAGGTCTACGCGCACTACCGCCCCGACGCGATCGTCCTGCAGTGCGGCGTCGACGGCGCCAGCGGGGATCCGCTCGGCGGTTTCAACCTGACCGGCGAGGCGTACGTGCGATGCGTCGAGCGGATCCTCTCGTACGATAAGCCCACGCTTATCCTCGGGGGTGGCGGATACAATGCTCCCAACGCGGCGAGAATCTGGACGGATGTGCTCGAGTGCTGCATTTTGGAGCGCGCGAAACCCTCACGGAGATCTGCAGAAGGAAGAGGTCAGGAACGGACGCGAGAAATTTGCACGACGGATGACTTCTTTGATCGGTACGGCCCGACTTTCTCGAGGGATGTTCAAGCGCAGAGGATGAACAACGAGAACAGCGACGAGGAGATTAACAATCTCATTCAGCAGCTGGAGCAAGGGCTGAGGTGAAGACAAGTTGTACCTGAAAGGAGCGAGGGAAGCATCGATGTAATGAGTCAGGGAGTTCTCGTGACAACACCCTCTGGGCCATGGGCGGTCGGCTCTCCGAGAGCATCGGCCAAGCCGCGCGGTGCATCGCTCTCCTTCACCATGGCGTCTCTACCCTTCTTCGCCCTGAAAGCGCGGAGCCTTTCCCCCACGACGCCCTTGATCCTTGCCATGGATCTCTTCACCTTGTACAAATTGGACTGGCCGTTGACCCAGTGGCGGCCGTGCGATCGGCACCACTCCTTCTCTGTCAGTAATATGTTGCGCTCCTTGAGGAGAATAAACCACAGGCGGTGCAGGTCGTCGTACGACTTAAGACGCAGCTCGGACGTGCGCCACGCACGGCCGTTGCGAGAGGCTCCCGCGCCGCCTTCGCCGTCGATGAATTGCATCACACCCTTTTGAGAGTCCAACGGGCGGGCGGGCTGTTCTGGTCGCGTCGCGAGGAGCCGACGGCGACAGCTCATGACTTGGCGAGCCCGGAGCGCGAAGGTTCCTCTCATGTTGCTCAGATGTGTTTCACGTGTGCAGCGATCGGATGTGAGACGAAGGGGGGAGAGGTCGGCAGTGTTCTATCACAGGACAGAGGGGGGTTTGATGGTAACATGTTAGGAAGGTGCTCACAGCGGGGGGGTCAAACAGCGAGAATGACTTGATCGGTCACGAAACACAATGAACACTTGTCATATGACTACTTGTGGTGATGTCTATTTCGCCGTTTCTATTGGCCCTTGTCATCTGGTTGACCTCGTGATGTCACGCGATCTTGTCACTGCGAATACGGCACGGCGGAAGGCAGAAGGCGGATGACGGCGACTGTTGGTTCACGTCCCAGTTGCTCACGGCATCGCCGCGAGCGGATATCAACCACCATGGCAATCTGCGGCAATGCTGTTCCCCTTTCCTTGTCTTGACGATCCCAACCTCAACAATGCGCCGCTTCGGCTCGCTGTTGCACCGAGCGGGCTGCCACGGCTCAACTTCCCGACTCTCAACCCCGCCCTTTCTTCGACACAAAACTCACTTCTGCTCCCTGACTACCCAATCCACCAGCACCCCTACTATAGAAGCCTCCGATGACCGCCATCCCCCCGTCCCCCCTCGCCCGGTATCCCCTGCGCTCCAGAAGCGCGCCCGCCCCGCGCGCGTCACGGATCTCTACGACGCCCTCATCTACGAGGATGGCGGCGCGACGGCGGCGAAGCCGTGGCGCAAGGTGATGGCGCTGCACGCGTCGGGCTCGCCGGTTTCCGAGTCGGACTCGGACCTGCTCCGCGAGCGGCTCGAGGAGTGCCGGCAGTACGCGCACGGCGAGGAAGCCCTCGCCGTTCTGGACGACGTGCAGCGCATCGGCCGCATCCCGTCCGTCAGGGCCATCATCATGGCCATTGAGGCCTGCCTGCCCGCGGAAGAGTTTGCGCTCGCGGAAAACGCCCTCGCGCGAATCGAAAGCGTCCCCTTCGGGCATGCCGCTAGGAGCCCCAGGCTCGTCTCGTCGGCCCGCTCGCTGATCGCCGTCGCGTATACCGCCGTGCAGCAGCATGAGGATGCGCTGCGCGTCATGCAGTTTGACGACTTTGGCACGCTGGATTGGAAGCGCAAATACGTGCTCGGCGAAAAGCTGGACGAGCTCAAGTTGGGGCGCGACACGGTGGCGTGGGGGGTGCTGGTCAAGGCGCTGACGAAACTGGGTCATCCCGGGGTGGCCGTGGCCGTGGTCGACGTTGCTCTTGCGCGTGACGTTGGGTTGACAGATTCGCTGGTGCATCTCACAATCGACGCGTTGCGCGCGCTCGGCAGGCCGCGGCAGGCTGAGTGGCTTTTCGACGAAGCCGTGCAGAAGGGGCTGCAGCCGCGCGAGAGGACCGTAGCGTCGCTGTTGTTGACGCTGACGTCGAAGGCGGAGAAAAGGACATTGGATACGGCGCGGATTGAGCAGCTCGTGGATATGGTGCCGGAGCCGACGCCAAGGTTTAGAAATACGGCGCTGCTCGTGCTCACGGCTGCAGGATCGCTGCAGCGGTTCGAGAAGTTATTCAAGGATATTGCAGAGGAGGGCACGCCATCGGAACATGCGTTCTCGGCGCTGATGGCGGGATATGAAAAGCATTTCAAGGTCGGATGGGAGTCCGGGGGAGCGGAGGAGGACACGACAAAGGCGAGAATGGCCGTCGCGGATCGGGTTGAGGAGCAGTGGGAGGCGTTTCTGCAGGCTTACGGGTCGTCAAAGCCAAGAAGCAAAGTGCTGAAACGGGTGCGTGGGGCGTTTCTCCATCGGTATTTGCGCGTTCAGACGATGTGTTTTAGACTGGGCAATGCGGTCGACGTGCTGAAACGAGTGGCGGACGGTGAAATTATTGGGCTAGAGGTGTCGGCTGGGCAGGTGAATGGAGTGCTGGGGGCTGTGGAGATGGCGTGCGATGTGCGTGAGATGAGGCGGGTGTTGGATGTCATGGAGAGCATTGGGGTTCGACATGATGTGCGGACGCTTACGTTTTGTGTAGGGACGCATTTGGGGGATGGGAATGTTGATGCGGCTCTGAAATTGGTGCGGAATGAGGCGCCGAGGCTGCTGGCGGGCGGGTATCAGGATGAGATGCTGAGACAGTATCACTGGGGTTTGTTTGAGCGAAGGCTTGATATGCTGCGCAGTGCTCTTGAAGAAGCTGGGGTGGGTAAGGTGAAGGACTTGGAGAGCTTTATCACACTTACACGGGCGAGGTTGTCGTCTCCTGAGGCATCAGTTTTGAAATAGATGGTTGACTGTCGGAACGATAAAAGACGAGAAGGCTTTGTTGGTCTGTTTTCTTAGGGAACGCTCTCTATACTCAAGAAATAGACTGTATAATATATGTACTATACCCTACTCAGTCCACTCTAGGTGTGATTTGATGCCTTTCATCACTATGGAGTGCATACTGATGCAGTGCGCACTGGTGAAAGGCATCGATCACACCTCCCTGCCTCATGGAGCTACAATTGAAAGAAGGGGAGAGCAAGCGATGTTGTGCATATTTCGAAGAGCATCAGAAAAGCATGACTGTTGTATTACTGTAGAACAGTTCAGAACCAAGATCCTGATGACAAAACGTGCAGCACTTTTCGCAGCCATGGTTAATTCGTCGAGACTGATGACGCATCGAAGATCCGGATTTGACATGCTCATCTCGATGTGCTCGCCCATCTCGGAATGAGGGAGTAGCACAGCAAGGTATCGAAAAGTATTTTTTGGAAATTTTTCTAGCAAAGCGACCACCAAAAATTTGACCTCGGAGCTCCCAAGGCCGAAATGTAGGTTACACAGTGTGGGCCTCACACTGCCCATGACCAGCGCAATTCTGTCTTCGGCTCGCACCATTGTAGCTTCAGACCGAAGTTGAACGCTACTTTGCAACATCAAAAGCAATGACAGCCGCATTCATGACCGGCGCGGCCCTTCCCGCGCGCGCGGCGACCAACCGCCGCACCTGCCCGCGCATGTCCGAGCAGCTCTCTGCCGTGGACACGTATTTCCCGGTGTACCAGCGCAACCGCGCGCCAACAATCAAGTTCGACGGTGAGGCCGGCATCTCAGTGTCGATGGCCCCGATCAAGGCGTTTACAACAGCCAGCAAAGACGAGGCCCCGCTCTTCTCCTACGCAAACCCAGACGAGTTCGTCCCCAACAAGCCCGTGCCGCCGTCCGACCAGTCCTGGCCCTCCGGCGATGGCAGGGGCGTCTCCACGAAGGGCACGAGGGGCTCGTTCACCCAGCCGAACCTCAAGAAATATGGCCCGTTTCCGGACTTCTTTAAGGTACGTGTTGCGCGTTTTTGGAGGCGGTTGCGGCATGATGGTGGAGTGGATCATCGGATCGCTGACTTTCTTTTTATGATTTAATTGCGCTGTTCGGGCGACTTTTTTTGTTCTTGCTTCATTCGTTCTACGACTGGGCTTGTGCGTAGAGGTCGTGCGACAGTTGATTGGTAGTTGTATGGAACTGCGAAGGCGTAATGCTTTTTGGAGTAAAGGTTTAATAGTTTGATACTCACCTTTGCGCGGTGGTGTGACAAAAGAACGAGGCTACTGTTGATTAATTTTGCCTTGCGTAGCCCTTTCTCTTACAACCATGGCTAGGCAGTCGATGCCTTTATACAATCGCACGTAGGTAGTTGAATTCCTTGCCCCACCTCATCAGGGTGAGGCATCCAACGGCAGCATACACGTGTAGGGTTGGTGTAGAGATTGAGAATACTGTAGGTGGAAAACGGGGGTGAGTAATTTCATTGAAATACGATCTCCGTCGGCGGTGTGTTTTGTGATCCCTCCAAATCGGCGCTCTTGCTTCGCATTCCCTTTTGCACGCGCCCGTACCCGGAGATTGAGCCCAACGTTCTAAATCCCCTCCTGAGCTCACCTGCAGCCCCCCTCCCTCACCTCTTTCCCCTCTCACCCACGCCCCATCGCGACCCCGTCCGAGCGTGAGCGATGGTCGCCGCACGGATCCACGCTCTCTCGACCGCCACGGCGAACGCCGCAGACGGCTTCGCCGTCGTGGCATCCATCGGCGCCGTCAATTCCCGCGCCACGGCCCTCGCGAATTCCGCCCTCGCCCTCTCCATCCCTCTGCCCGACGCTGACCCGCACCCGAAAGACACCGACCCGCTCCCGCCTTTGCGCGCAGCCGCTTGTCCGGATGGCCCGCTGGTGCTCGCGCTCGAGGGGCTCGACGTCGCAGACAGACACGTCGCTGCCGAACGGGAAGCCGCTCTTGTCCTCGCTGTCGCCCTCGCGGGCGTCCTCGTCGTCTCCGTCAGACAGCAGGATCTTCTGCGCCCGCGCACCTCTGCGCTGCATGCTACGCTGAGAGCGGTCGAAAACTCGCTCGCCCTCCGCGCCGCAGGTACCGCCCCGCCGCTTCCAAATCCGCGTTTGCTCCTTGTCGTCGTTCACGACTTTGATGATACCGCTGTTTCTGAGGAAGATGTCACAAGTTTTGTTAATGATTACACAGAGGAGGAGTATGCCTCTTTTTCGCTCCCCAATGGATACGCCGCGACCCAGTTCGCCGACTTGTTCGACACTCGCATCGCCTTCCTCCCATCTTCCTCAGTCGCGCCAGAGGATTACCATCACGCTGTGGCAGGCCTTGGCGAGATGCTGCAGTCCGCGAACCGAGAGTACGCAGATGCCGGCGTCACCGCAGCTTCGTTTCAGGCGTCCGTTGAGAGGGTCACCGCTCTCGTCCTCGACGATCCCGCGGGAGAGGTGGACCTTCCCGCTGACCACGAGCTTGATGCTACGTTTGCTTGTGGCGCCGTCATGACCACCGTCCTCGACAAGTTCAAGAGCACGGCCAAGCAGTGGCGAAGCACAGTCGAACAAGGACGAATTATTCGCAACTTTGGCTCCGAGGCTGACACGCTCATTCGCCGTACCCTCGATGTTTTTGACACCGACGCGTCTGCCCATAAGGCAACTAAGTCTTTCCCAAGAAAGCGAAATGAACTCCGCTCGGTGCTTCTAGCCGAGTGCTACGCTTTGTTCACAAAGCAGATTTTAAAGCTGCGCGAGGTGTCCTATCAAATCTTTCGTGGGAAGCTTGCTCGTATTCGCATCAATAGCCGCGTAGAGAAGATGGTGCGGAATGCTGTCAAGGAGGCAGAGGCATATTTTGTGGAGAACGCGGAGGCGTTGCGGTCGCAGCTAGGTGCCTGGCGCTTCGACAATGAGCGTCATGAGCTTGTCAACCACATGCGCGATGACGCTACAGAGCGGTTGCAACTGGCGCGGTTACAAGGGAACTATGTGCCGCCCATGCGATCGCCGATTGCGTTCGCGTTTCATACGTTACTGTTGGCACCATTTGGGAGAGATTCGCGGACGCCGCAATCGATGGAGAAGGAGATGCAACAAGTGTACGACCCCGACAAGATCAAGAAGGCCGGGCTTATGCGTGCAAGGCCAGAACAACGGAGATACAAGTTCTATGTGTCGGACAAGGACGAGATTGCGCAGGGGACGGTTGATGTACTTGCTGACTTGTTTGAAGACGCTCCCGGGAAATAGAGAAACAGAAGGATCCTTTATGTAGAAAAGATTCTACGGATGATTTTTCGAGGCTCGGCTGAAAGCGTCTAGGATGTCGATAGCTCAGCGTTGTCTGCCGTCAGATTCGGTGAAATCCGAAAAGGTATTAACTGTAAATCCAAACAAGGATGAACTTGTCTAAGGGATGCACCTGCCCTTCCCAGGGTACGATAGCGCGCAACTGCCTTCACAGTGTTCATTGAGCGACAAACCTTGTGGTAAAGCATTTGCAGAAACTGCGTCACTTGAAGAGCAAGTGTTTCGAGATTATTGAAGAACCCCTTGCTGCGGCGGTCAGTCGCGCATCGACTGGCTGGGGGGCATTCTGGGGGCATTCTGGGGGCATTCTTCAAACGTTGAATGAAACCTTCTGCTGCGAAACACGCAATGGGAAACACGCAATGGGAAACACGCAATGCCCCAGCGGATGAAGAGCCTGAAAATTGAGCTACGAAATAATTTCCTCAATTCTTCAACACCCGAACAGATCACACCTCGATAGGAAGGTGACTGATAAAAATACCCTTTCCCTCCACTTTGTAAACCATAACAGCCCGTCTGGGTATTCGCACAAACCTACATGCCGACAAGCATGCCGAAAATCAGTCCGGACCCAGTGCTTGCATCAGATGAGCTAAGCGGAGAACGAGGTAAGACATCTGGTTCTCCGCCAGTATTCGGCCTCGTCATCACAATACTCCATCCAGCTCCGTCTCCTCTCATCTCTTTCTACGAGACCTTTTGCTGTCATCTTAAGGAATTGCTCGAAGATGCAGGAGTTCTTGATACGCATTATCTGCTCTACCCACCTCATACATTACATTGTACTGTCGCAACGGTGCGTCCATTCAAAAAAGCCGCACTACATCATCCCGAGAGAATTATATCGTTTTGGAGAAGCGCACTTGAGCGCATGGAGCAAAAGCCCAATTGGCCTGAGAGCGTCGAAAACAGCACGTTTGACCTCTGTGGACCTCAAGTTTTCGACAACGGCGTCGGTGTGTTTCTGTTTGATGACAAGTCTGGCGCAATGAATTCATTGCGCAGATGCTTGGAAGAGGAGATGGCCTGCTTTCAAGCTACACTTCCGGAAATCTCTGATGTCAACATGGAAGACGTCAGGGTTCCAAATATCATTCACTCAACTGTGCTGCGGTGGCGGTCATCGCCGGCTATTTCAACTGACCAACTACAGCGTCTGTTTAACAAGGCGTACGAGGAAGCTACAGTAACGCACACAACGAACGCCCTGAGTATCGGCAGCGTTCGCTTGCTCAGAGAATCGTTGCCATTCATGCAGAAGCTGACATGCTGTCACGAGGCACCACTGCCCATAGGAAATAAGGCGCAGTCACAGGAAGGCCCTGCTGATTAAAGCAGGCCACAGCTCATCAAAACAGGTATGGAAAGGGCTCTTTCTGTGCCAAAATGAACCACAATTATATTCATGTCAGGGTCAACAAGCTACGGATGAGATCTAAAATTCGAAACGACGCTTGATCTTCCATTCACCCTTGTGCGGACTAGAGAGAATGAAGCAAATAAGAAAGAAATGTTAAAATGGTGCATTCATGAAACGCCAAGAAAACGGGGCAGGTACGGTTTTGCGGATGTTTCAGAACTTACCTCGCATTGAACGGAAACGCAGTCGTCACAGTCCACGGTCCATTGTCAGTCTTGCAATCCCATTCGGCCTTAAACTTGCGGTCACCATAGTCTGTGGCAATGGATAAGGTGTGTATCTTGCTGTACTGATGCTTGAACGTGAGGCTGGCACTCCTGGACGTGTGGTCTTTATAGTTATAGACCGCCTCAAGCTTATTCTTAGGATCAAGCTTCCTTGAAACCTTAACTTTGGATGCCTTAGATTTGCCATCAAACGACATCTTTAGGGACTCGACGCCACTCAACTTGGCATCAAGTTCATAGCGCTCCGAGTGATCGCTGAGCTTGCTCGACTGGATGTTATAGAACGTCGAGGCCGCAGTAATTTTGGTCTTCCCCTGCCTGACAGCGAGCTTGATACTGGCGCTATCCTTGGGTGGATTGTATGTCATGTCAAGAGTATTCCTCCTCCCGTACGCCGTGAAGCCCGTCTCGAGGCCGAGGTCGACGAGCTTCTCATCGGTGACGCCGTACGTGGCGTACGCGGTGTTGTTGTCGTCAATTGCGTACGCAGCATCGACGGCGAACGAGTCTTTGCGTGAGTCGTAGCGGCCAGTGATGGCGACTTGCCCGGGGCCGGTCGTGTGATCGGTGTCGGCGCGAGCGGCGACCTGCGCAGTGTGGGGCGGGGGGGTAATGAGCTTGGGTGGTTAGATTGTGGCGGTTGCAGGTGCGGGAATGAGTGCAGGCGGAAAAAGGTGCTTACCAGAAAGGGTAAGGGGATCTTGGCCACGCGCATCGGCATGGCGCCAATGGGGGCATTTTGTCTTTGGAGGCCCCACATGATATCTGTTTCACTCAGGCAGAATGGGCAAGAAGGGAGACTTGAACGAGAGCGCAAAGCAACGGGTGATCCAAACACAGGAAAAGCGCGGGAAACAAGCAAGACTCTAGCCTCAAAGGGGATGTAGCAGCGGTGGGCAGGATCCAACGTGCAAAGCCTGACTCTGCTCCTGAGTGCAAAAGTGGATAAGGCGGTTGTGTTGGAGGGTTGAGCGACGGTTGCAAATTGCGGCCGGCGGTAGGCTAATGGTGTCAATAAGGCTGGAGATGACGGAGTTTGATCGACTCGCTTGTTTTTTTGCACCGCATGTACTGTACAGTGTACGGTTGTTCTCGGAGTGTTAAAGGGTGGTTGATGACATGCGCGAGGGTTCGGGCCATGGCATTGGTTAGGAGGGCGTACAATGGTCGCTTTTTATTTTTTTTCGGAGGGTGCTCGAGGTGATTTGTCGAGATTGGAGCAACAGAGCGAGATCAGAAAGCAATCAGAGATGGCCCTTGACACGTGGCATTGCTGGATGTCTCCGTCTCTCCACAGAGGTCCACATGGTGTAGTATCCATTGGATATGCACCTGAATGCTCAGGTGTGGGACGATTCCAACCTCGGCGACGCTGGATCAGTAATACCCTTCCACACCCCTTGCTGTTTGCGCTTTAAGCGTGAAACCCTAGTGCTCCTCCATCGATGGTGTCCCCGCCACAGGCTGGAAATGTACCCAAAATGTCGTTTGTCCTTCCCTTTATACTTGTTACAGCTTACTGTAACAACTCACCCCTCTGCTTTGACATCTGAAAATACTTCACATGCCGCACTGTGACACTGTTTGCTGCCAAGCATGGCCATGCTGCCACGCAAACAGTTGTGTCGTCACTACGTTTTCTCCTGATATCGCTCAAGAGAGCTTGATGTAACTCCAGTTGGACACCATATGCGTTCCCATAAGTTGATGTAATTTTGGGCGGTACGTACACGGGTTGACTACTGAGGACACAGGCTCGGATGCGTCTAATGACAGAACAATCGCATAGTGAAGATGTAACGCGCCAGTCCGTGTTCCGACCGTGGTTTTGCATCGTTGAAGCGTTGCTAGCTAGGGAAGTTTTTGGTGATGAGATTCGCGCCCTCAAGCCAGGATGCCTTCTGTTCCGCTCGTGGCTTCTTGCGGGGTAGGTGCAGGTATCGCTGGGAACATTTTGCATGTCATGGGCACATTGTTTTATGTCATTTGTCGTCACGGTGTTGAGTTGCAGACACCGCAGAGATTTCATGAGCTCCATGAATTCAATTATTTATTGGCACACAACTGCTGGCTAGATGACTGTCGTTTTTCCTTCAGAGAGTCCAGTTCAGAATGATTGAAATTCTACAGATATGTGGGTCCGGAGACCTCATGCAGGCACACTGTAGACAAGGTATGTATCCCTCTACGAAATCCTCGCTTTTTTGAGGTCAGAGGATTCTGGGACGTTGTCAACGAAGCTGAATATTTAGAGCCCCGTTCTACATAGGCATTGAACAGGTGATGGTACAACTGCACGCTGGTAGAAGCGGGAGAATGATGGAACCCGAGAGGCGTCAAGAGAAAGGGAATCTTGCGTCGTGAAGGAATGAACGCCCAGGCCTGAGAAAAGGACGTATACATGACAGGGGGAGCTCGAATGATCTTATTGTACTGTCTGGGCCTGCACCGTGCGCGAATTGATAAAGCCAAGCACGCTTGAGGGGAATTTGGGACTGGATGCATATCTTTAAAGGAGTCCCGGGCCCCTTGCCGTATAGCATTTCCAAGAACGGGGACTTGCACACAGCGGCCTCAAATGCTAAGTATGCAGGTGGTCACTGTCACACAGAATATTTTTAATAAGAGTTTTCGAGTTATGCAAGACAGTAGTTGGGTTGTCCACGGCACAGAAACATGACACCGCTCACACCGACATCGAAGAATGCAGGGAGCTCGGAGGACGATGAGGAATGTGGCGTTGAGATCATTCTATGTCGTGAAATTGGGAGGAAGGGATTGGGAGATAATAGTTTCGTAGGATCTCTTCTAGACTGCGAAATGGTATGGGGCTTTTTCTTCAAGCGTTGATACTGAACACAGCTGCGATACTTTGGACGGCATGCGGCGGCGGGAGGAGGCGGTTGTGGTTTACGGTGCATGGAATTGCACACGATTGGTATCGCCTTTTGCGCATTCAGAAAGGAAGAGCTATTACAATGGATGTGAGCGTGGATTTGAACCAGCGGGATAAGGACGGTATTCGGTTCTCGCCGCCGTCCCCATGTTAGGGTTGACTCGGCGAAGGAGCACGCAATGGCCAGAGCTATGCAGGACCGCATCCATGTCCGGCCGGTACCCTTGATCTGTCTATGGGAGAGAAGCGAGGCAAACGCCAAAACTCTCCGCGCTGCTCGTCATTGGACTCTGCCAAGCATAGACAGCGCACGCTCGTGCGGTGCAAGTCCGTGCGGTGCAAGTAATCTTTGAACAAAAAACGGGTATGAAGTGATTTCACAGCACGACCCTGGCAATGAACGGGAGCACCATTGTCGCCCAAAAGTAGACCAACGGGGCAACAAGAACGTAGCTGTCGGCCCTATCGAGCATGCCGCCGTGGCCGGGGAACAGGGAACCGCTATCCTTCCACCCGACATCCCTCTTGAAACAGCTCTCAAAAAGGTCTCCGCAAAGGCCGAGCACACCGACGGTTGTGCCATAGACGGCGCCAGTGGCCCACCACAGCGGCCATTGCAAGAGGTAGGCGCCGAGGATGGAAACACCAGCCGAGCAGACGAAACCGGCGACAGCGCCTTCCACGGTCTTCTTCGGGCTGATGTTGCTAAAGCGGGTGCGACCATAGGTCTTACCGATGAAAAACGCGCCGATGTCGGCGCTTGCCGTCGCGAGCCATGTCCAGAAGACGAGCAAAGAGCCGACGGTAATAATCGGGCTGAAGCCCAGCGCGGCAGGCCACAGGCGGGCAATGGCGGCGGCGACGAGGTTCGGGGACGAGCTTGCGGTGTATTCGTGCAGGCGGACCCAGAAGCTGGGCAAATAACCCGCGTAGAACAGGCCCATAAAAGTGGTGCTGATATCGGCGATGGTGGCGATTCGTTTGCGGCGAAAGAGCAGGTAGATGCAGATCATGGTGCCGCCGACGGGGAAGACGACGTCCGCGAGGGCGGGGGCGTACGCGCTGGAGAGGGTGGTGGCGGCGGTGACGCAGAGGCCCATCTTGTGCGCGGGGAGGTGGCCCTTGGCCGCGACCATGCGGTAGTACTCGTAGAGGCCGATGAGCGAGGTGGCCAGCATGCCCAGGGCGAAGACCCAGCGGCCCGAGAAGACGAAGGCGATGACGACGGCGCCCATGGCGAAGCCGACGGCGATGCGGCGCTGGGTCTTGAAGCGCGAGGACAGGCGAGCCGGGTCGGACGGCGCCGCCAGGGCCGGCTTGGGCGCGGGCGGGTCCTCCGACGGCGTCGCGCGGCTCTCGTGGGGGGGCGAGGAGAGGCGGGCCGCCGGGCGGCGCGCGGGCGATCGGTAGGGCGGCGAGACGGGGCGCGGGAGGGTGGAGATGGGGCGGGAGAGCGCCGGGGGGAGCGGGGTGCACGGGAGGAAGGCGGGGCGCGGGAGACGATGCATGGTGCGTGCGGCGTGGACGGGGAGGGGGAGAGGTTTTCCGGGGAGCAGAAGTTGGAGGGGCGGTATGATGGTGCTGGCGGGACGCGACGGGCCGTCGTAGCGGCCGCGGGTTGCGCGGAAGGGATGAATGGATGCTGGCGGCGGGGAGCACTAGGCGTGGCCTGCCACCAGTATTTACTCGCTTGACAGGTCCTTCCTCCGCCACCGCCACCGCCGCACGCCAAACCCGCAACCCGCCTCCATGGAAACGGCCCTTGAGGGCCGTTTCCTCTTCCTCCAAGCCTTACACGTTTGCTCTTTCCTTACAGTCCTCGTTCTTCTGTAAACGACACTGTAAGGGAGAGCAACAGCGTTACAGTGTAAACTACGAGCTGCCGTGTCAAGCTTGCAGCGCAGGCTTAACACTGCTGGCGCAACACAGAAGCTTGATGTCAAGCGCAGGTCAGGTCACTGGGTGCAGTGTCAACACTGCCATGCGCGGCGCCGTCTAAAAGGAAAGCCCAGGGATATGGAGAATGTGTGAGGATGTCTCCTCTGGTGATCGGGTCTACAGTGACCCGGTCACTCCACTTTATGTCAACCAGAGCAAGGCTCTGGTGCGCGCCGCTCCGCTGCGCCGTCGTCGGTAGGATAGTGATTAATCATTATTTCTACAATGGTACGTACCCTAAATCATCATCAGCCAACCATCTCGCGATGGTGGCGGTCATGGAGCCTTTTCATTGGACTGTTGGCTTTCGCCGAATTACAGGCACGCGCCTGCGCTCAACACCGTCGGGAGCCAATACGCTGACGGTGCAGTCTTACTAGCAGTGCAAGGCTTGCACTGCAAGCAGAGCCATGACGCTGACGTATTTACAACAGAGCTAAGACCCTACCAAGGGTCTTAGCTCTGTTGTAAATAAAGATACCAAGGGGGGTCTCTTGGTACCAGTGCAACGCTACGTTAAGCAGAGCCATGACGCTGACGGTGCAGTCTTAGCAGCAGTTACTGGTAACTGCTGGTACTGTACCAGTGCAAGGCTACGTTAAGACACGACTGTACTGTAGCTAGAAACACCTCGGCGTGCCGAAGTCGTTAGATGTGCCACTTGCTCTTGGCAGTTGCCTCGCGCCGGCAACAGATCTCCGTTTCCAACGCGCGGAAAACGCCAGCTATGCTTCGTCATGGCGCTGCCTTGCTCCCATGCTACCCTGCTTATCGTACCGTCAGATAGCGCTACACTACAAGTAAATTATTGTATTTCAATGCAAGGCGATGGGTGTACCGCGCATGACGCGGTACAGTCATCGCCTTGCGATGCAGTTTCGACACTTTCATGATTCACAATCCCTTCCGTGAACGCTGTATGCGACCGGCGTGTAGGGGCAGGGCGCGAGGCATACGGCTGGCAATACCAGCCGTATGCCTCGCATGCCAGCCTGGCATGCCTGACCACTTTCTGACTGCGTTGGAGTGTCGTGGGCGCATGGGGAGCCGTGCGATGAGGGATGGATACATGTGTGGAGAATATCCCGCTCTACACACGCGTTGAAGTGCACTGGTTTGAGGACACAGTCTGTCCGGCAAAACATGAAATGGGCATGTTTCCATGCCGCGAAGAGGAGAGCGTAACAAGCTTGAAACTCAGGCTTGAAAACTGTATAATTCAAAAGGGACAATATACTCCACTGTCATCTTCGGTGAGGTTGGCGCAAGATGGGGTGTAGTCTAGTCTCGATGATACTTGATGTGTAGAGATGACATCTTGTCACATAGAAAAGAGAGCAATGCTGCCTTCCTTTGAATAGAAGCTCTTTGATACGGTTGTACAGTGAACATGAGGCCAACCAAAGGCGATTCAATATCGTGCAGCAGTAGACGCTTTGTTGTATCGTACCTCGGGTACTGTACAGAACAATATACTGTACAACATACAGTACAATAACCATGTGCATACTGTAGTTCAGAATCCTGCGTTAGGGGTAAGGGTACAGTGGTTCGAAAAGGGTGGGTCAAACAAGTCGACAGGCAGTGTTGCAAGAGGAGAAAATGAATTCGGTTTGACGGTTAAGTGTCGTACAGGATGCGGTCCTCTGCAAGGAAGCAACTTTGGAAGGTTATAATGCGAGAGGAGGAGCACGTCGCACGACAAAAAGAAGGTGAAAATAAAACTTGGCGCAGCCATGCTGGATCCGCATACAGTGTAGTACAGTACGTCCGGGAAATGCAACAGTACTATCAGTATGTGGATTTCGGATTGTGTCGGTGGCGCATCTGCTCTGTGTTGTGCTTCCAATGGACAGATTTGCGAGTGGCTGGTTGATAGTACGGTGTGTAGAAATGAAGTAGAAGGTTTTGCAGGGGATGGTTTGTTTGTACGCTTTGCGACGATGGCAATGTGTCCGTCAATTGAGCGGCTTCATTGAGCGGATAAGGCGGCAGCGAGGGCTGTAAAGATTCATGTAGACTCGCAGGAGGCCGGCGCTTGAACGGGGTGCATTTGGGGGAGAGAAAGACAAGGCGGCGGGCTCACTCAGTCGTTGCCGGCCGGGGATGGGTACAATGGAAGGGAGGGAACCAGCGATACAGTGTTTCCCGGGGTAGCGGTCGGCTTTCCATGCAGATCAAGGGCATTCTCCAGATGAAGGTTGCCTAGACGTCAATGTGATGGCACACCGATGCGTTGCTCAGCGATGGGCTTTAATAGCGGGGCTTACTTGGCGCGCTTTGGGGAACGAGGAAGGTGGAGCGAGGTAGTGGAACGATGTGGGCGGGGGAAAGTGGGCACAAAGGCAGCCAGCATCGGGCAGGGAGTGCAGTGCACACTGTAGCGCACTGTGTAGAAGGGTAGACTGTACAGTTGCATTACTGTGGTTTGCTTTACAGAAAAGTAGTGCGGTGTACTTTGTGTACGGAGAAGATGTTTCCAAATACTAGTGTGTTATGAAAGTTGTTTTGAGGGGTATGAAAAGGGGATAGAAATACAGAAGAAAGGCAAACAGGAAAGGGAAGACTGTATACAGTACAAAGCATCTGCAGAAGATGGAGAAAACACGGAAACTCAACTACGGTACAACTCATATTGTATGAAGTAAATTCGCCCGCTTCCGTGACG